ATTGTAACGGTCTTCTTGATACTTTTTATTGTACCGGTCTTCTTCTTGATACTCTTTATTGTACCAAGTCTTTTCTACATAAGATTTTTATGGGATAGATACGATTATACGCACGTTAGACACAAGAAAGCGAGAAATAGCGAGGCAAACGTTGCCGGTCAACAAATAAAATTATTTTTCTTTCAAAATTATTAAAAAAGAAATAGATTTATTTCATCAAAAAAGACAAAAATTTAATGAACATTATCACCCTATATAGGTCCTTCCATGTAAGCTGTATGCTTGTCTGGAGAATTACGCCCAATAGATTCCAAATCATTATAACATCTATGGAAGACTCTTTCCATTGCTTCAGTGACAGCTTGACGTGATACATTACGCACAGACAAAACGGAAGCCAAAGCTTTGGTTTTAACACAATTCTACAAATAAAATATGTTCAGATAAGCAGCTTGCTATCATTTCCGTAGCAGCACCTGATGCGCCTGTTTAATGTTAAACAGCGAAGTATCACCTTGCATCACGGCGCTCAAAAGCGAGCAATGAGCTAAGTTGGCTGCTCTGATTTCCGTGCAAGCCAAATAGTCAATGTTACGAAAATCTAATTCATTATTGCAATAATCAAACATACGAATCATTTCATTAGTAAGCATGCCCTGAATTATTCCTTGTTTTCTCGCCATATTTTGGCAGATCGCAATTTGATATGTCTGCGTTGGGCAACCAGAATTTTTTAAAGTACCCATCATAAGTCGCATAAATTAAACATAAAAGCATTTTTTGTTTTTTTTTTTCGGTTTTAATACTATAAGCATTTATTTAAAAAGTAATAACAGCATAATGTATAAATATTTTCAATTTAATAATAAAAACTCTTACATGATCTTGTTAGAAGAAAAATTAGGAAATTAAATTTCTTAATTGCCAAAGAACAATGTTTATTTATAAACTAAATTAATAGTCACCGTAACAATTAGATGTCATTTGTCATTAACTCATAAATTCTTAACGCAAAACGAAAAAAAAAATTCTGCGCACATTTCGGTATACTTCGCATTCGATTGTAAAAAAAGTAATGCTTTATAACAAAAAAAGGAAGTTAGTTCATAGAATAGTCAAAATGACAAAAAATTAAAACCAATTCATATGTTTATGGTACAAATTTAAATTCCTATGAATAGAAAAGTGTTACAATTATTATTTACTCTGTTTTCCTAAAAGGAAAAAAAGGAAAAAAAAAACAAAAAAAAAGCCTTAAAACTTAACAAAAACTCCCTACTCTTGTGCATGTTTAATATTTAATGTACAGTTAATCTAGCAAGAAAAGAAAAAAAAAAAGGAAAAACAAATTCGATATATGAATATAAATAAGAGATAGTACAGAAGAAATGTAGTGAACGCAGCAATTTGTTACTAGGAATTTAACGTTTCCTTAAATTAAAGTTTACACAAACAAAACAATAACGGAACAAATGCTCCAATAGCTATAAATATTGGTAAAAATAATGTAGAATCGTCCACCGAATATCCGGTTGCCTCGGACATTTGGTGGCATTGGCGATTTATGCGCTGAAGGCATTTTTGTAAAGAAGATATTTTCTGATTTTAAATCGATGTGAACTAATTCATTGGAATTTATATAAAAGCTAATCCCTCGGCTATATGCAATAGTAATATTTTGCATATTATTTATTTCGATCATTTCGATCATTGCTTTATCATTTTGACGCTACTAAGAAGATGGTGGAAAAGGCTCGCCGGAAAAAGAGAAGAACTCATAAAGAAATATGACCAGGAAGAGGCGAAGATAGCCCACTAAGGTAGTCCACATATTTTGTCAATTTTGCCTTTACTAGAGAAGTACTTGTTAAGTCGTAATTTATCACATTGAAATAGTAATGAAAATTAAAAAGTTGTAAAAAGCATGCAATTGTAAAACAAACTAAGCCTCCCCACAAAACCAAAAAGCATTATTGCCAATATAACTGTCATGTCGAATCACATTAAGCTTACTGAAAGGATGCAATTGTTGCAAGTCTCTAAACAATTTTTATAATTAGTTTAGTGCCTATGGGGAGAGTGTATGTTACATCCGGAACATGCTAATGAAAATAAAGTTTTTGCGATCGTTTTCACTACTCTTTAATATACATCGAAAACTTGTTTCCCTATATTCTTTTAGATTTTTTTATAGCGCACTTTGTAGTTTGCAATTTTTCTCCATGAAAATACGCTTTCTCTTATGAAAATACGCTTTACAGCAAATAATAACAATAAATTTTATTGTTTTTTTTCTGCATTTTTAATAACATTAAGAATGATTTCTTTTTCTCTCTAGGTGTGAGCTTTGGATTTTCGTTAAGTTTTACAACTCATTTTGTTGATTTAGCACTTAAAAATTTCCAGTTACCTTAACAAGGACCCGAATGAAGTAAGTCTAAAGGTAGCCCAACTAGCGATGGCAAAAAACTACCTTCACGTTGTTCGGTATTATATATTGTAAGGAATACATTTTCTATCTCTATTTTTACTTGTATTTATAATGAGGTATATGCACAGACACACAAGGTCGTATTATCGTGATATTATCTATATATATAATTTGGATACCTTCTTTATAACCTAAAACACTTACGATGCAAAGGTATATGAAATTGGTTTGGTTATATGTATGTAAAACCCGGAAGGAGTGGAGATAGACTTATATTTTACTATGCCGATTTAAGCTTGTCTGTTTGTCTTTCTGAAATATGGTACACTAATGGGTTTTGACACAAGGTCGAATCCATTTAGAAATGCTTGGGATCGGACCATTTTATCGGCCACTTGCCTTATAACGCATTGTTTTGAAAAGGATTTGTATATTAGGCTGTGGCTCATTATAGTGTTTTTCATTGTTTTCTATATATTATTACGACATAATTTCTCCCATGTATATAACTACTCATCACTCATGTTTTCCTTCACCGTGCAGCGTACCACTGGTATCGGAAGCTTTGTTGTACCCGAACGACTAAAACGTGCGTACCTTACTTCTATATCGAACTGGGATATGTTGGATGTACAAAGGAGTGATACACAAAGTGCTTCTCAATCGCATTCTGTTTAAAATCGATCCCACCTTCAGCGGTGGTGTAGATTACCATGTAGAATTTTACTTCTCCCGTTATGGCTACCGTAAACAACACTACGTTGTCTCACGAGTGTTTAGAAATTTGGGTGAACAGTTCTTGTTTCCCTCCCGAGTACAGATGTGTAAATGGCCACAATTAGATATACACTTAAATGATGAGGAAAACCTCTTGTTAGACAGTTGCCAGTGTAAATGGCACAATTGCATACTGAACTCTATGCAGAAAAAAGCCGTAGCAAATATACTACGAGGAGAAGTTCACAACATGCCATACGTGATTTTCGGAATCACTGGCACAGGAAAAACGGCAACGCTAGTGGAAACAATTTTGCAAATTTTTAAATTGGTACCCGGTGCACGTTTGCTTGTAGGCACACCTTCTAGTAGTTCTGCTGATTTCATAACGACGCGTTTGCTCGAACCCCCTGTACTCGAAATAGGCGAGGTTATACATGTAGTATCTCATAATGAATTCAAAAAAAACTTATAAAAGAGCATTTGTGGCCGCATTGCGCAACAGGGGATAGATATTGGGATACTGGCATAGATGACACCTATAAAAACTGTTCAAAGCGCTTAATTAACAAAAGATGGAGCCAAGGATATACGACGACTGACGACCACCGTCTGATAGAATCACTAGACTATCGGATTGGAACACAGGTCGAAGAAGAGTTTCGGCCATTCGGCCTGGATGGCGTGGCGTATCGGGACATGGAAACTGACAAATGGACACCTCAACACGGAGAATATTTCCGGGTACTCACGTGGTATGCAGTAGGAAAATATATCAGAGATAAACTAAAATGCCAGCCATGTCTACAGGAATTCACAATTAATAAAAGAAGCGCATGCAAAAAAGTGGGCCGTCGAATTGTGATCAGGAATAAATATGGCAGCGGCATCCTGACGAGCAAGTGTCTCAAACCGGAGTTCCTGACAGAAGACATTAATAAAACATTTAATATCGTCTACAAGACGTTGTTCAGCATCTATAACGAACACAGTTGCAAATATCGGAGCACGTTTGCAGGCAATAGTTTTAACCCATATTCCATTTTTCGAAAGAAGAGGATCCTGCACCTATGGAAACGAGCATAGGAGGAATCTGCTCGGATACATAATAAAATTGGCGCTGAATGAAACCCAAAAAGTTTTAAACACGATCTTAAGCATACTTCTCCTAAGCTCTTACTTACTAATGATGACCGAGCCCATGGCAAAACTATTCTTTTCTAACCCAATGTCGTCACTTAAGAGCAACATTTGAGCAGTTGACCAAGGTGTTGCTCCGGCCTCTTACATCAAATGCTACTATTTGGTGCGGACTCCGTACCAATATAAATCAATATTTTTTTATATACGAAATCAAACCGTAAAATTCAATACAATCACGTTAGGCAGATGTAAGGAAAATGTAGCTTTTAAAAACAAATTTTAATAAGGAACAACTTTTTTTCGGGAGATTGTTTTTCAAAGCACTGAGGAATTCATATATTGAGGCCTATATGTCCACCTTAATGAAAAACATTGTGTAAGTTTAGTAAACATTCCCGATTATTTTTGCAAAAAATTTCCAGATAGGTCGGAATAATCTTTTCAAACTTTTTAAGAATTAATTATTTTAAGCTACGGTAACTGAATCCCTGCATCAAAATAAATGGGTTACCTTTTGTACGAATTGACCAGCCACTGCCATAAAAAAAGAATCTGCCGTTCCTCGGCCTATGTTAATATTATGCAAACATATTTACGTATTGACCGCTTGACCACCCACTTTTGGTCCCTTTTCCAAAGCAGCCAGACAAGCTTTACGCAGCATTTGTAAAGTTTTTGGCCTCAAACTTTGCAAATATTGGGCATTTTCCCGGGATTTATCTGTATCACGTACTAGCGTCAAAGCTCCATTTAGCACCGGAACAATCCTTTGTCAGAAATTGTACGCACATTTTTCTTCATTTCTCCCCTTAAGACACGTACTAGCGTCAAAGCTCCTCTCTGCGTGTCATGTATTATTTTCAAAACTTTTCCTGCAAAATCGTTCCTATAAAATATGATTCATTACTTACTTTCCAAATCATATTTCGCCATGGTACTTACTCGAAGCAATCATATAACCGATTGCTCTCATCTGGCGCGGGCAAATAATCATTAACCGCGTCCATTAACTTCTGTATGCCTACATTTTTATAAGCTGAACCCAATACTACGGGAATCAATTTTTGTTGGCATGTAGCCCTTCTTAAAGCAG